CTAATTTGTTACTTGTTTGCCGCTTTCACTGTTTGCTCGTTTGATCGGCGAGCCGGCTTTGGTTGCCTTAAGCGCAATTCAATGTTCAATAACTACGTAACCCAATGGGAAGTACAAACAGGTGGACAAGACAGCGCATGTACGCTCATTGCATGCTAAATAGTCACGTTAAGCGAAATCTTCAACATATGTACAAATTTTATGTATACATGTACATTAGGGTGGCCCTTAAAAAATCAAATTAACGATTAACGACGTAGGGGTTCAGGGTTAGGAAATCTGTTGTTAAAATTAGCTTCCTACATTTAGGAATCACCCTAATGTGCAATTTAGTAAAAAAAATAGTAAAAATAAAATGTGTAAAAATGCTATTCCGTATATAGTATATGTAAATACATCGCTCTTCAATAGTGTCATAACTCAAAAAAGCGAAACTCAAGAAAAACGGCTTCAAAGTTTTGAATTTGCATATTCCCCGATAGTAAGAATGAATAAGTGAAATGCAGTACTATTTTTTCTCTACTTTTAATACATATATGTATGTATATATATTTTTACAAGATGTCTATTTAAAATGCGTTAAGTAAATATATACTTGTTTTAACAATTCGTTCTTTCAGTGAAAGCGTTTAAAATTTTTTGTTGGTACATTTTTATTTGATTTGGTACATTTTTTTTTACGTTTGGGACAATTTCGAAAAATGTATTTATTATCCCTGAAATCGTCCATCGACCAACTGAAAAACCGCCTATCTTTCGCCTCTCAAATTTAACAGGAGAACGAAAAAAGGGGTTTCTTTGAAGGCATTGCCTTGATAGGCGGTATTTTCTCTAGCTGTTATTTTACAAATCTGTTGTTTTAATAAGGATTTACCAAATCTCATTTTTTGCCACAACGGCGATTTAAGCGGTTTTGAAACTGGTCGATAGGCGTATGATAGGATAGGTCATATCCTCAGATATTTAGATCTGACTTCGTGGCTTTTTTCTGGCCTTTTTTACATACAATATTCATAATAAAATTCGGACCGGAGGTATGAACATAATTACCTACCTAAACTTACTAAAGAGCTTTAATATTTGTAAACCGTTGAAATATTACAATAGCAGTGCAAATGTCCATTTCTTTGAGAAAATACTTACTTAGCTTTTAAAAAATCCTACTAAGAAATTCGATTTGTCCGCGTACTAATTTGTATACCCTCATCTAGAAAATATTCAAACTTTTGCATTTTTCTTATATTAAACTAAACTTTTGTGTGCATATAATTTAAAAATTTTAATTTTCAAAGCGTATAACTTTTCTAACCTTTATTAAAAACGAGCAAAGCGAAATATAAGCTTTTGAAAATACTGAAAATTCCACCCTTACGCTCCCCCTAGAACCGACCCTTTTAATTTGCACCAAAAAAATTTACACCTTTCATATCAGTAGAAGGGAGCTGACCACGCCCACTTTAAATTTTTGTTTTATCTCAACGGCCGCTATACCGCACTTATGCCTCAAAACGAGTCTACGATACGAATGAGTGTAATATACAAAGAGTCAAATGAGTTAATTAAATGAACTGACTCCCTAAAGTGAGTTGGAGTCATTGAGTCAACTCCTATAAATTTGCTGAGTTACTCTCCCTTATAATAGAGAGCGAATACTCTCCACTTTTGGATCGTAAATGTCTTCTTCTTCGTGCCCGAAACAACCCGGACCTCTTTTCCGGGCAGAAATGTGGAAGAAGTGAATTTAAAATAACAGCTGTTGTTTGTTTACATCCGATAGTAAATTTTGTAAACTACAAAAATGGGAAATAGCACTAAAGGTTCAGAAACGTAGGTATTTGCTAATTTTATTAGCTATATATAAGATAAATACACATAAAATCATTGTTTAGAACTGATTTATTGATTCCGGGCACGAAAATTGGTTTTCTGCGTTCCCCACGCTCTGCGCACTTTTGGCACGGGTTGACACATTTTTGGAACTTGTGAGAGAGTAACTTATTTTTACCTCTAATTACCGAAACAGCTCAGAAAGCGTGTGTAACAAACCTAATGGCGAAAACAGCTTTTGCTGTAAATCTTGCAAAACCTGCAAATCGTACTGCTTGTGGAACGCAACTATTGCCGTAGTATTTGTAACGACCCTTAAGTTCTCAATCGTTTGTCAATCATTTTCGTCAAGCACAATCGGCATTTACCATTTGACATTTCAGCCAACATGTGTAAAAATTGTCAAAACACCAGGAAGTCGTCGTGGTTTTGTTTCGAATTCGACACAGCAACATTTTTGTATAATATTGAGTCAAAAACTGCTACCAGTATCGACAATTATATTGAAATTAAAAGTGTATGCTTTGGAGCATAGCTAACAACGATATTTTTGCAAATAGGTGTAGAACTTTTCGAAATAATGGAAGTAGAAAACGGCGAGGGACAGGTGCAAGTGCGGCTGAAGACTAAACAGGAACAGTAAGTATAAATTTACTTCCAAGCTAAAGTTATATATATTTAACTTCACTAATGAAATTTATCTTTCACCAGCTATGCTGTCCCTGATGTACCTTATACAATCGAAGGCAATGTAACGACGGAGGAGTTAAACACATTCGTAAACGCGTTGCTGGAGCAAGCCGCATTGAATGCAGGCGACCATAAGACACCCGTAGATTTTGATTTCATAGTTATATATGAATATTTGCGTGGTCGATTATGCGATCATTTACGTGAAAAGGAAATTTCATTTGAAGATACCATCGATATAGAATATGTTGAACGTTTCCCAGCACCGGAACCTAAAGATTGTTTGCTGCATGATGATTGGGTATCTGCGGTCAAGGTATGTGACAAGTGGATATTGACCGGTTGCTACGACAACACCATCAACATTTGGACGGAGAAAGGAAAGCATGTCCTAACTATACCGGGACATACACAGCCACTTAAGGCGGTCGCTTGGGTATCAGTGGACGAGGAGCGTGGTAAATTCGTTTCATGCTCACAGGATCAAACGGCAATGCTATGGGAATGGCTGGTTGGAACGAACTCGGTGGAATGCGTATCGGTGTGTAAAGGGCATGAGCGAGGAATCGATTGCGTTGATGTTAGTCCGGATAAATCTCGTTTCGCTACAGGCAGTTGGGATACAATGCTCAAGATATGGTCGGCGGGTAAGAAAAATTTACAAATCTGACTTAGCGGGCAATCCAAAATTATTTTTTTAATTTAGAAATAAATGAAGGAGGAGAGGGTACTTCCAAACGAGCTAAAGAAAGTGGCACAACTAGGGTGAGTGGGTGATTCTTCCATATGTGTACACTATGTTCATTATTGTTGACTTCAAGGTTCCTCAAATGACATTGCAAGGACATCGTGAATGCATATCTTCCGTACAATGGATGGATGCGGATACACTTTTGACCAGCAGTTGGGATCACACGTTGAAAATTTGGGATCTACATCTCGAGGGCATTAAAACAGAAATTTCTGCCAACAAGTCCATTTTTGACGCAAGTTACTCTAAATTGAATCGACTCATTGTCACGGCATCGGCGGATAAAAATTTACGGCTTTATGATCCGCGCACAAATCGTAGGTTTTGCTAGCGATACTTGATTAGCCTAATAATGAGTTTTCTTTTAGAGGGAAATATAGTGCGCAGTACATACTTCGGTCACAGCCAATGGGTGCAAACTGTAATGTGGTCGATAAATGAAGAGTTTCTTTTCGTATCTGGTTCCTATGATAATCAAGATAAGCTTTGGGACTTGAGAAGGTGATAACAAAACCTTTATATAATTTCCATGCAATTTCAATAATTAATATATTAATTTTAGCCCTAAAGCACCGCTATACGATTTGTTGGGTCATGGCGATAAGGTGCTGGACATTGATTGGTCAAATCCAAAGTATATCGTTTCAGGGGGTGCTGATAACACTGTGCGAGTTTTCAAGTCACGTAAAGCCGTTTCCGCGGAAGCCATGGA